GACATGCAGTGACAATGTCTCCCGGAATGAGACATGCAGACCGACAAGAGTGCACAATACACTCTTGTCGGTCGAAGTTTTGCAATCGCGTTGTGATTGCAAAAGATTGTGCTATTCCTGCATATTTTCTACGAGCCTGCTTCATAAAATTGAATCCTTCTATCCAAATTAAATGCGATTTCGCTAATCTTTCATCTAAAATCACTAATCAGAAGCATATTGCAAGTTAACTTGAACCGGCATGTTCCTCCTATCCTGTCTTTCAGTTCTTTCTATCAGCCATGGTTCACAAGGAGGAGAGCTTTGCGCACAATCAGACATAAGATTGCGGCAGAGGAACCGGGAAGAGAGCAGCTTGAAGCGGTAAGATGTCCGAATGCTGTCTCCCAGGTGTATCTGTCAGGCAAAGTTCACAAGGAGGAGAGCTTTGCGCACAATCAAACAGAAGATTGCGGCAGAGGAACCGGGAAGAGAGCAGCTTGAAGCGGTAAGCTGTTTTCAAGTCTTTAGTTAACAAACTTTAACAAAAGACATCTAAAAAATTTGAAATAATTGCAAAATAATGCCGTCAGGTAATGCGCACCTAAGGGAGGTGTTTTGCGGGAGCTGGGGGTATCTTGGTGAGTACTCAGGAGGCCAAGAAGGGCACCCCAACCGACATTTTGCTGACGCATTGTGTAAGCAACCATTCTGATAACAGCTCAAACCGTCGGGACAAAATAATTTATGAAATTATAAGTCATCTTTCTAATACATATTTTTGGAAGGGCGTAAGATACGCCAACTTAAATATATTATTAAATATGAGAAAATCGCTCAACAAAAAAACAATTCTTTCAAAAAGTTTGACATTGATCTTTCTAATACATATCCTCTGGAAGGAGTTTACATTCACAAAATAAAAACCAGTTCAAAATCTTATTACTCCTTGAATTAAAATCATTTAATTTCAAATCCATTCCAAATCCTTAAATCTGTATTAAAATCATTTTGCCAACAACCAACACAATACAAATTACATTTCCATATATCTTCTTGTCCATTTTAATTTTTTATCTCATTTTATTTAATTTTATTTAAAGCATATAGACATCGAGATCCTTTACACATAGTTATATAAAAGTCAAATACATAATAAATTCTTAATTCTAGAGATATCTCAAAATCTCAATTTTTTAATTTAAAATACCTTTCATTTTTCACAGTACTATCACAACAAACAAGCCATTTACTAATTAACACATATAAGAAAAATATCAAATTACAAAACAACTTTCAATATCATTCGCATCGAATTCTATTTTTTCATAATTATCAACTACATATTATTATATAATATATGTCGGCGCATATTCCACTCTATACAAGTGTCAGACATACTCACACAAAGCTGTGAGATTCATACCTCTATCAGTAGGACTTCTCAAATCAAGAACACATATGTTTCACTATCGCACATCTGTGTAGGATCTAATTAACCCTTTGGACTGGTACTTCAAAATTTGATAATTTGATAATTTCATGTGATATCATCATTTGCCTTTAAAACAACTGTGCGTTAAACTAGACACGTTTCTCTATCATAATGCAAAATATCAAAGTTTGGGAGACTCCCAAAGTGTCTGAAACTGATCATAAGGGTGAAAAACCGTTTTCCAGAAGTTGGGAACGTAGGGTGAAAAAAATTGATCCAGATTTTCGTCATTTTTTACTTTTTCTCCACTCTAAATTAACCAAAGAAATGGCCTAGCTTCTAATTCTAAATGGTGCTATGATAGAGAAAATTCTAGACAAACTGTTCATCATTATGCCGCAACTAATAATAGAATTGAAACAGTCGAACTTCATATTTTGGATGGTTCTGATATCAATGCTAAAAACTTTTATGGGCAAACATCTCTTCATGAAGCACCACAAAAAATTGCAAAGAAATAGCCGAACTTCTAATTTTAAAAAGTAGTGTTATCGATGCAAAAGAGAATTATAGAAAGAAAAAAAAAAAAAAAAAAAAAAAAAAGGAAGTGGGGCTTCCAGGCACTTCGTGCCTTCTAGCCCTGAAGATGTTTAGTATAAATGAAGTTTTTATTCGGAAAATTGTTAGTCTTCTGGGTCGAAAACATTATATAATGTGTCGCTTTTCACAAATTATATATGTTTTCATGTTTTGTCAAACATGAACGTAAATGTTTTGTCAAGACTTCTTCATCGTAATGAGCGTAAATGACCCAAAAATATAATTTAGGTGAAGAGGTGAGATGTCACCCGTTTTCTCACCTGTTTTCTCACCTCTTGAATTTTCATGATTTCTTCGTAAATGTTTTGTCGAAACTTCTTCATCGTAAATGTTTTGTCACTTTTCTGTCACTTTTCAGGAAAAAACATTTTTATTATTATATAAATGAATTTTACAAAACCACCGTTACCGTTCTTTGGAAATAAGAGTAGATGTAAGGATATTCTATTGAGAGAACTTAAGAAACTACCGAATGGTCTAACATTTGTAGATTTGTTCGGTGGAAGTTTCTATATATCCCATCTGTGCCATACAATATTTCCAGACTCAAAGATTATATGCAATGACTTCGACAACTATATGGACCGTCTCAAACATATACCAGACACAAACAATATATTGAAAGCGTTAAAAGAAAAGATACCTATAGGTAAGATGGAACGTATACCATTAGATAAGAAAAATATTGTGAGAGAGGTTTTGAAAAAAGCAGAATATATAGACTGGGATAGTATATCTGCTAGACTATTATATAGTGGTTCTATAAGAGTTCATGACATTGAAACACTTATGTCAAAAGTTTTATATCTTAACTATACAAATGTTTTCAAAGAGAACATAGAAAAATATATTGAGGGCATAGAGTTTGTGAGATGTCATTGGACAGAGTTGTATGAAAAATATAAAGACAAGGAAAATGTTTTCTTTATAGTGGACCCGCCGTTCTATAACACATGGGATTTTCAATACCAAGTAGACTGGACTTTGAGAGACTCTTTAGAAACTTTAGACGTTTTACATAACCATCCATGCTTTTACTTTACATCCGATAAAAGTGGTTTGGAAACCGTTATGAGATGGTTAGAGGACATACATGACTATGAGTTTAGATATGACAAGATAAATATGAGAGAGGTCCTATAAACTGGAGAAAGTGTCACAATAAAGAAATTTTATTAGTAAGTAAATGTGGTTTGAAATAGGACTACTTGTTTTAGGTTTTTTCCATTGTGTCATTTATTTCTTTGACGTGGCAGAAAGATATAGAGAATATGAAGATGAACCAATGCCTGCAAATGTTCAGCATATGTACTCGTAAGAGATATTTTTATCTAATATTAAATGGACGCACAGAACTTAGCGAATGCACAGCAACCTGGACAACCAAACCCAGAGAATATTCCAAATGAAGTTAGAATACAAACTGCAATGGCAAACTATGGTCAAGTGCCAACAGATGTACAAATGCAAACTGCCATGTCAAATGACGCTGCGTTAGGTTTGCCACCATGGTATGCAAATATGAGATGGAAAGAGTTTTATACAAACCCTGAAGTGGGATATAAACAACTTTATGCAGATGACGCGAACACAGGAGTTGACCCAGAATATGTTTTCTACCAGAGGAGAAACAGAATGTATGAGCTCCAGTTAAAGAATGCTATGGAACTCAACAGGAAACGTAAGAGACTAGGCGGACATTAGATTTTTACATATAGTAAAATGGGTTTCTTCAGTAAGATAGGAAACTTCTTTCGAAATGTTGGAAGAGGTATATGGAATGGAATAAAATCTGTCGGAAGAGGAATTTGGAACGGTGTCAAAAATATTGGTAAAAGGGTAGGTCAGTTCGTTGGTATTATACCTAAAGACCCTGAACCAGAAGAACAAGCTCCTGTTATACAACAGCCTGAACCTGCACCACAGTCTAGTTGGCAACCAAATCCAACACCTCAACCGTATTAAAAAGTTATATTTTTACCGTTCGATAGTAGTTGTATATGAAACTAAGTTCTAAGTAAAACGCATGGTATAATGGAATTATTCTTTTTCTTCCATCTGTAGTAAACCATACTTGAAAGTCTGAAATACTTCCACTTGGTGGTTCGTATAACTTTGTAGGTTTTTCGTAAAAGTCATTTGCCAAGCATAAAAAAGAGTTTTGTGCACCAGAAAATGAAGCATGAACTATAATAGCATCTTGGTCGAAAACATTTTCATATGTTCCATTAGGGTTTTCGACTTCATAAAAGTTCGGGTGTACTGGATATGCTGCAGGCTGATTTAACATCCTCAAAAATCTATACCATGCCAAGTTGTTATATTTTGTAGAAATATAAACGTTTTCTCCAAGGTCTTCTATTCTATTGATTTTAACAGTTGCATTTTTCCTGTCATATAAAATATCGAGATGGTACTCTCCTTCGTCAATGTTGTACTGTTTTGCATATTCGAGATAGATATCGTTTATTTTTTCTTGAAAAGCTTGAAGAGTTGTTTCTAAGTTTACAAGCAAATTCACTTGTAAAAGTTTTCCCTGTTCAAATTTCTCATACATACGTTTTTCTTTGTTATAGTATCGAACTTCAAAACCGACTGTAAATGGGAAACCATGTATGGCTTCTGAAATGAACTTCATTCTACGAAAGCCAATAGCTTTTGTGACAGATGGGTCTCTTAACCATCTTAACGGGTAGTCAAAACGATAGCCTTCATGCTTTACGGTCTCTGTCTCAAACTTTTGACCGACATTCGTAAAAAGTTCATCTAATGGTTTAGTTGTAGCAACTCTTGAATTTTCTTTTTCTATTGAAAGCATATTTTATCTAGAATAAAAATGTCAAATGAAACAGCGTCTATGAGAGAAATACAACACAACCGACAACTCATTATACAAGCTCTAAATAAGAACACAACAAACTTTTCAAACTATTCTAAGATATCTGAGTCATTGAAAGAAGGAAACTTAAAACTGACATTAAACCCAATGACAGATGAGTTTCTGTTTCAAGACAATAAGAACCATACTGTCTGTATAAATCCAACAAAAGGAACTTTAAACGAGAAACCTATAAATGAACTTCTTTTGAAAGCAGATGTTGGCAACAAAGCTGACAAAGAATATGTAGACGATGCAATAGCAAAAGAAGAAGAAAGAGCTAACAAAGCTTATGCAACAAAAGAACATACTCATCCTGAACTAGCAGACAAAACATATGTTGACAATAAAATGTCAAGTGAAGTGACAAGAGCTGAAAACGAATATTCTAAAAAGACTCATACACATACCATTGCAAATATTACAAACTTACAAGAAACCTTAAACATGAAAAGTGCCGTTGGACATACACATTCTATATCTGAAATAACAGACTTAAACGTTAGCCTTGAAAAGAAAGCAGATAAGGAATGGGTGGCTAGTGTGTTAGTGAAGAAGGCGGATAAGGAATATGTGGATGAAAAAGATAACGAAATTATAGAAAGGGCTGAATGGTATCATGAATGGACATCGAAGATTTTAAAAACTAAAGCCGATACAGGATGGGTTTCAGGATGTTTAGACCTTAAAGCGGATAAAACATATGTTAACGATGAGTTAGACAACAAAGCAGACAAGAACCATACACATAAATCCTTCACAACTGTTAGAGCAGACGACATAATATTGAACTTTGACCTTGGTTCAAGTGCACCTTTAGAGAATCCAAGTACAAGCGTAAAAGATACACTAAACAATTTAGATAACAGTTGCAGGAACATTGAAAGTCATGCCAGAAACTTTGAAGCATATGAACTACCAGCAATGTTAGATAAGAAGGCTGACAAAACAGAGCTTCAAACATTAAAGACTGAAATACTTCAAACATTATATCCTGCAGGCTCTATTTATACGTCAATGAACTCTACCAGACCAGAAGTAGTACTTGGTTTTGGTGAATGGAAGCAGATTGTAGACAAATTCTTATACTGTGCTAGATATTCAAAGACGGCAGGAGGTTCGAAGAAAATTAAAGAAGCAAACCTTCCACCGCACACTCATACAGGAACGACAAACACAACAGGTAGTCATTCACATTCAATAACAAAAAGAGGTTATAGAAATCTTGCAGCAGGTTCGGATAGACAGGGAATGGATAGATATGATATTTCAAGTGACCCGGTAGATTCAAACGCGGGGATTTTCTGTGGAACCGCAGGAAATCATTCACACACTTTCACAACAAATCCAACAGGCTTGGGTAAAGACTACATGCCACCTTACATGACAGTTTACGCATGGTATAGAATTGCTTAGTCGTCATTTTCAACTTCTTTAGCATATTCGTCAGGAGTTGTCTTATATTTGTTAGGAACTGTCTTTGAAAGTATACCACCTTGAACTTTGACAAGTTTGAAACGAGGTCTGGCAATAGTAGTTTTATCTTCTGCTTGCAGTGTGTACATTTTGCCATGTTTGCCTAAAACTTCATAATATTCTCTTGTATACTTTCTTCTATTTTTACGAACACGAACGTGAGTACCTGTCGGGTTCCCATTGTTGTCATAGTCAATAGTATTTTCATATGGGTCGCGTTTAGGTATTTCTATTTTTACTTTGTCACCCTTCCGAAGTTTGAAGCCTGGCATTCTTTCTTGTTTGTCTCTTTTGACTAAACTATTAAATATATAGTCTTTCTCTAAGTCAGGGTTGTTTTTCATTTCTTCGGGGGAGTGGTTTCCCAAACCTTTTTGTTTACGGTTATTGTAAATATTTAAAACTTGTCTCATCTTTGCCATGGAGAAGTGTCTATATTTGTCGTCATATGACATTTCATTTGCTTCACCACCTTGTGGTTGGTTTAAGTCTCTTAAGATTTTTATACAACCGTCAATGACACCAAGAGCAGAATGGTTTTGGTCGACAATGAAATATTGGTTTACATTTTTTGAACGCAGATAGTTTTTTACATCATCTGATTTGAAAGAACTTTCACAGTCAGATGTCAGTTTTGTTGGATGGTATTTGTCAACGAATATTGTCAAAGCAGTTTTCACATCTAAAATATTTTTGGACTGTAATGGTATGGCTTCACAGTATCTTGTATTTTGACCAACAAATATTAACCAGTATGGTGGTCCATCTGTTCTAACTCTCGGAATGTTTTCCAAGATATCCATAAACCATGCGTTCGGAGTTGAACTGAAGATTTTTATCATGAGTGCTTTCTTTGTCGCTTTAGAAACATACGGGTCCTTGTTTGAATTCGTCATTTTTTACCCTGTAAGAAATGGGTTTATTTGGCGCGTTAGCAGGAGTTGCATCCAGATTTTTACCCGCAGTGGGAACAATAGCCAGAGGTGTATTTGGAGTTGGAAGGAAGATTTTGAGTACATTAGGTATACTGAAAGAGAAAGCACAACCTATTATACAAACTGTACAGAAAGGTTGGGATGTAGCACGAGATGCAACAAATCTTATTCCAAATCCTGAAACAAGAGGAAAAGTTCAAGGATGGATGGATAATGTAGGAAAACAAGCAAATGACTATTATAACAAAGCAAATGACTACTATAACCAAGCAGGACACTATATGGACCAAGGTGAAAGATTCTTTAACAGAGGATATAACCATGCACAACAGTGGGTAAACAATAACCAACCGCAACCGCCTCAAACTTGGGGAATGTAAAATTTTTTACTGAGATGAAATGAACAATACAGCATTGAGACAAATGAGTTCAAGATGGATTTGTCGACTTCCAGCAGTTACACAACGTGTTTGTCAAGTTCTTCCTATACCTCAGGAAGTTTTAGACCGACTTAAAAAACAACAACAACCAGTTGAAAACAAACCAAACTAAAATTTTTTACTGAGATGAAATGACCGAAGAAGTTGAAACGGTAGATTTGACACCACAAACAAAAAGTTCAGAACCATTGTCAAAACCTGTCAAAGAACTTACAGATGAAGAGAAAAATTCAATAATAGAAAGTGCCAGGTCTGGAAATACAAACCCTAACTATAAAGTCACTTTTCATAGAAATGGAACGGCTAGTATCTCAAAAAAGAAACAGACTCTCACAAATAAAATATTGAAGTCTGAAGGAGCTTTCGAGACAACAGATGGAAAAGTTTACTTCACTGACCAACAGTTCATTATAGAACATCTCATTGACTTAGAGTCAAAATATTCTAAACTTTACAACAAACACAAAAAGTTGAAAGGAAAACAAAAACAAATGGCATATGATATTTATGAAGATGTTGACGACACAACCATACCTGCAGGTGGGGTAAAGTCAGAGGAACCGAAAAGTGACGAAAAACCGATAGAAGAAGGTGAGCCAAAAACTGAAGATAAACCAAAACCAAAGTTTAGTTTGGAAACTAAACCAAGTCAACCTTCATTGGCTGGTATGGGTTGGCGTCAAAGGCTTATGGTAGCAGGAGGTTATGTAAAGTAAAAGAAAACAGTATATTTTTTTTTATTTTTATAAAAATGCCCCCATATAGAATGGATAGAAAGTCTGCTAGAATAAAAGCAGAGTTGCAAAGATATGGTTGGAGAGTTTCGAAGAAGTTTAAATATAGGAAGGGAAGACCCATAAAAGTCTATGACAAATTGTCTGGTCTTCGCTACGAAATGGATTTGGAAACAGCACGTGCAAATTATCCAAACAGACTAGAGAGGTTAGAAGAAGAACGTCTTATGGACATGCCTTTCGATGTTAGTGAACCTCAAGTTGAGGGACACGACGGCTTTGCCAGATTCTATTGGAAACATGACGAACAATTGCATCCTTTGAGAAGGAAAAAAGGAAAAGGTGAAGACACACATGCTCCCATGGAAAGAACAAGATATGCATATGAGAAGTATCGTGAAGTTCGTGCTAAAATTGGACAAGGTGGAGACTTTACAGTAAACTTTGACGAAGGAAAGAACAAAGAAGGCTTCATGGGTGTACTTGCTGCAATTCAAGACGGAAATAAGAAAGGATACAATCTCAGACTAACCGTAACAGATTTGGACGGTCATATATACTATGCATATGGCAATGTCACAACAGCTGCAAAACTTCTTGACGCCTTCAAGACTACAAAGAGAGAACAAATGGCTGATTCAGACTCAGACATTTTGAATGCAATTGAAGGAATTGCAAGTGTCAAGCTCGAACGATACCAACATAACCCTCAAGCAGTCAGACAACATGTTTGTTAGATGAGAAATATGAAATGGCATACCATTTTAAAACAGTATATTTTTACATATATTAAATGCTTCAGGTTGAAAAACAAAGAACAAAAGTAGCAGATACAAAACCGTTAGACTATATCTTTACAAATGCTGGTAGGACTATTTCAGATGAAGAAATTTCATCCCGAACATACAGGTTTGACTATCCAATTCGTTGGCTTCAAAGTCCTTCAGATGCAAAGGCAATAGGATTTAGAAGAGTTTTGTTTTCAAATAGAACTAACGCGTTTATGTTTGCAGTATATTTTCACGGTCAGTATAAAGGTTCTGATGGTCTAATAGAAAAATTTGACGAAATGAGAATCTTTACAGTTCGTTCAGACGAAAGTCTTGAAAAAACTCTAAATGACTTTCAAACTCAAATAAACAAATATTATTGGGAATTTCAAGAAAAATACGACTCTTTACTAAATGGAACATACTATCTAAAACTAGAATACGATAAGATGAACTCAACCGTTTCATTTCAAAAGATTGAAATTAACCCTCCAAGAGATACAGAGTTTTTATTTTGGGAAGTAGACAAACGTTCTTGGGCACAATTTCTTCGGTTACTAAACCAGAACGAACCATTACCACCTGACGGTCCTTTTAAATTTATACTTCCACCAGCAGATTTGATGGTTTATAGAAACGTGTTTGACCCTCAAAATGTTATGTGTCATGCAAGTTTCAGTTCAAGCAACAATAGTTTTCTATGTATTGGTAAGGACTTTTATGACTTTGCTTCTAAATTCTACGAACCACCTAGTAACAGTTTCTCTGACTTTCAAGTTTGGTTCACAACAAATGGTGTGCAACATATTATTCCATTGTACTATGACTTTTATCTCGAATTGTCTTTCATATATAACTACGGAAAAGTGCTGAAAAAGTATTGAAAAATAAAGTTTAGGTGAAGTGGTGCGATCTCACCTCTTTTTTCACCTGTTTTTTCACCCGTTGAATTTTCATGAATTTTCATGAATTTTCATGAATTTTCATGAATTTCTTCGTATATGTTTTGTCAAGACTTCTTCATCGTAATGAGCGTAAATGACCCAAAAATATAATTTAGGGTAGATGGTTAGATCTAACCTGTTTTCTCACCTCTTTTCTACCCTCTTGAATTTTCATGAATTTTGTGCTGAATTCGACAAAAATATATTTTGGTTGAAAGAATACGGTGGAGCCAAAAGTGGCTCGACCTCAAAACAAGCATTTTGTGAAGAATATACCAACCCGCGGAAAACAGCGGGTTGCTTTTTATACAAAATTCAACAGGTGAATTTTCATGAATTTCCTTAAGATAGAAAAAAATATATTTTAGGCGACCAGGTCACTCGGTCACTCGGTCACTCGGTCATTTTAACTTCTCTGAAAAAGTGTGACAACATGACATTTTGACAACAACACAGGAAATAGATTTCATCGTATATTTTTTGTTAAGACTTCATCGTAAATGTTTTGTTGAGACTTCATCGTATATGTTTTGTCGAGATTTTTATCGTTGTGGTCCGACGGTTAAGCCACAAACGAATGTCCGACGGTTAAGCCACAAACGAATGTCCGACGTCCCACCAAAAAATATTTTTTATTTTTATTGTAAGAACAGTAATGTCAGTCGAAGCAAAAACGTTCACGAACAAATCTAATGGCGAAACATTCACAAAAGGCACTTACAACGGTATTGAAGTCTTACGTAGAGACAAGGATGGTTATATAAATGCAACAAAGATGTGTCAGCAGTTTAGGAAAGACTTTAGAAGGTTGTTGGAAAATAAGTCCTGGGAAGAGTATTTTAAGGCATTTTGTGAAGAATATACCAACCCGCGGAAAACAGCGGGTTGCTTTTTATACAAAATTCATGCAGGAATTTCTGATGAAATCAAACAGGTTAGAGGAATGTATGTAGACCCAAGACTCGTAAACTATATAGCAATGTGGGCTTCTCCAAAATATTGTATAGCAGTTGGAAAAATTCTGGACTCCATAGACAAGAAAGTTCATGAGAAATTAGATGAAGAAGAACTTGAAGATACAGTAAAGAATGCTAAACCTTTGTTCGAACAAGAAGTTAGAAAAATGTGCTTAAACAAATAGAACATGAACGTGAGATATGTTATGGTTATAGAGATTCTCCATACGAACTAGACCAATGGGAACAAGAAGATTTAAAGAGAGAATTTAGAGAATATGAACTCGCTAAGATAGCATTAGAAGCTGCAGCAAAGAAGTTAAAAGTTTGGGGTTGTTTTGTACAAAAATATTGTGAGTAAATGAACCATTTATTTTTATTGAATTCAGCAAAAATATAATTTAGGGTAGAAGGTTAGATCTAACCTGTTTTCTAACCTCTTTTCTACCATCGTAGAAAACTCTCGAAAACTCATGAAATTTACACCAAAAATATAATTTAGGGTAGAAGGTTAGATCTAACCTGTTTTCTAACCTCTTTTCTACCATCGTAGAAAACTCTCGAAAACTCTCGAAAACTCATGAAATTTACACCAAAAATATAATTTAGGGTAGAAGGTTAGATCTAACCTGTTTTCTAACCTCTTGAATTTTCATGAATTTTCCCGAAATAAAAAATAAAATTAGTTTTATTTTTATTTATTTTTTTATTTTGTATAAAAGAACAGAAATGTCAACAATCGGCACAACAGCAATTCAAACAACAGCACCAAACTCGTTAGTCATGAATCCAACATCTATGTTAGTAGAGATGAAAAGCTTCATTCCTTCTTCATATACTTTCGAAACAGAAATCCAGAAGATAAAGCAAGAACTGTTAACAAGTAATTTAGACTGTAGTGCGAAAGATGAACAAAATGAACAGTATCTTTACGACATGCAGGATATTATTGACCATCTACCTAAACTTCCTGAAATCCAACAACAAAAGCTTACTATTCCAGAATTCGATGAAATAGAAGTCGGACTGACTGACTCAGTAGAAATAAAGAAGTTCATACGAAAGGTAAATTATGAGTTCCTTGGTTTTCATTGCAACCATAAGGTTATGGACAAAGATTGCGATATGGTATATAAAAATATTTCTGACATATATAAATCGGAGGAGTTTAAGACCTACGACAACTTTGTTTCGTTAGTTGCTGAATGTGTATGGCAGATAAGAGATAAAGATAGAAGAGGTAAAATATGGAACGAACAGATAAGACCAACTGCTTCAGATTTAAAGAAAACCATTGACGCCTTGGTTGTTTTAGCAGGTAAGGTTTCAGAATATAACGCAAAAATGAACCCGCAATGTTCAAAATGTAAAGCAGCAATGAGGAAATATAACTACTCCGTCAAAGAGATAGAACGTATGCGAAACGACTATGCAGACTTAAAGAAAGAAGCAGAAAAGCCAGCAGAAAATAAAATGGACATGTTAGCATTTCTGAACAAAAACTATCCAACAGCAGACGATTTCCTTCTATCTGATGTCAAGAAGAAGTATAAAGAAACTTTCGGTATCGTTAAAACATTTGACATACTAAAAGAAGAAATAGAAGCTACGAAATTGTTTAGGATTTCAAATATACATCGTACAATTCATGTGAAACGCTTATAAAATAACTGGGGTAGAAAAGAGGTTAGAAAAGAGGTTAGATCTAACCTTCTACCCTAAAATATATTTTTATTGAATTCTGTATAAAATTCTGAGTAAAATAATTTTTAGGGCTTGTGTCAAACCGTTGAGTTTTCACAAAATTCCAAAAATAACGTTTACCATGTGAAACGCTTATAAAATAACTGGGGTAGAAAACAGGTTAGAAAACAGGTTAGATCTAACCTTCTACCCTAAAATATATTTTTGTCTGATTTACGCTCATTACGATGAAGAAGTCTTGACAAAACATTTACGAAGAAGTCTTGAAAATTCAAGAGGGTAGAAAAGAGGTTAGAAAAGAGGTTAGATCTAACCTTCTACCCTAAAATATATTTTTGGGTCCTTTACGCTCATTACGAAGAAAGTCTTGACAAAACATAAACGATGAAATCTCAACAAAACATTTCGATGAAGAAATCTCAACAAAACATGTACGATGAAATCATGAAAATTCATGAAAATTCATGAAAATTCATGACAAATTCATGAAAATTCAAGAGGGTAGAAAAGAGGTTAGAAAAGAGGTTAGATCTAACCTTCTACCCTAAACATTATTTTTGGGTCCTTTACGCTCATTTCGATGAAGAAATCTCAACAAAACATTTACGAAGCAAAACATTTACGAAGCAAAACATTTACGATGAAATCATGAAAATTCATGAAAATTCATGAAAATTCATGACAAATTCAAGAGGGTAGAAAAGAGGTTAGAAAAGAGGTTAGATCTAACCTTCTACCCTAAACATTATTTTTGCCGAATTCTGTATGAAAATCATGAATTTCCTTAAGATAGAAAAAAAAATAAAGTTAGTTTTTTAAAAAATATTTTTTTATCTTGTATGTAAGAACAGAAAATGTTAAAGGTTGAGTTTGAAACAGTTGGAAAGATAGACAATGACACCAAAGTGGTTAGAATAGGTGATTTAAACGTAAGATACTCAAAGAAATACAACAAATATTCTTTGTCAGACATTATATCTCCATCTGGAAAGAGACCGCAGGACTGGGTTAGAATTGCTTCAACTCAGAAAATTTTGACAAGAAATCCTGAGCTTTTGATATCGGTAAGATTCTATGGAACTGCAGCATATCTCATCGACAAAAGTCTTATACCAATAGTTTTGTTATGGTTAGACCCAGTTGTTGGATATAACTTCATAACACATGGTTCATTCGATACGGAACGTTGCAGTGAAGGCTTACTTTACATCGTTCAGAAACCGAAGGACTTCAACACAAAGAGATATAAGATAGGAAGAACATATAATATAACTCTAAGATATGACAGTATAGTCAATAGAGTCAAGGTTGTGTTTGCTAATGATATGAGAGCTGCAGAAACAGAACTACTTGAAAAGTTTGAGAAAATGTATGGTGCTCCCATAAAAGGTAAAGAAACGTTTGAAGTAGATGAGATAGATAGTGCTATAAAATTATTTGACGAAGTTGCTGAAAAATACATGTAAAAATAACGTTTACCATGTAAAACGCTTATAAAAAAAAAGAGGTGAGAAAAGAGGTGAGATCGCACCACTTCACCTAAACATTATTTTTTGCTGAATTCAGCACAAATTTCATGAGTTTTGTATGTTTTAGACCATGTGAAAAAACAGGTGAAAAAGGAGGTGAGATCGCACCTCTTCACCTAAACATTATTTTTATTGAATTCCGTATGAAAATCATATCTTTTATACAAGATAGAAAAAATAAAGTTAGTTTTATTTTTTTTTTATTTTTTTATTTTGTATGTAAAGACAGATATGTCAACATCAGAGAACACAACAACAGTTATAGTCCATGAAGCTATAAATGAAGAATATGAGTGGGTTCAGTTTAACAAACAACTCCGTCTCATTCGTTCGGTCAAAGACGATATGTACCAAATGCAAAGTATTTTGACAGCATGTTTTGCACCAGATACTAAGAAACCACAAGACTGGTTTAGGAACCAAAGCACACAAGAATTTTTGAGCGAAGCACAGCGAGACATACTTTTTTCTGAAAACAGTGAAGAACAGCGAGTAAGTAAAAAATCTTACTCGCCTAAAACTCATGAAAATCGTGAAAAATTGCCAAACGGTTTGAGAGGATATTATGTACATAGACTTCTTGTAAATGCTGTTGCAATGTGGGCTTCACCTCGTTATGCTTGGTATGTTTGTAAACTTCTTGACGAAATTCATAGACAAGAACGTGAAGAGCTAGAGAACAAGCTTGAAGCAAAAGACAAAAGCATTCAGAAAAGAATACCGCGTTCGGTACCAAAAGGAAAGGAAAAGAACTATAAGTATATGATTTATACTGAAGAGATGGAAAATGAAGAAGACAGAGATATGGTTATGTTGCATTTAGTCAGAAGAAACAACAAAAGCTTTTACGACCTTGCTAAGATTTACAAATCTGACAGAAATTGGTTCTATCGCGAAAACTTACCGATTTCAATGACCCCAAATGAAGATGTGAAACAAATAGTTCAAGATACGTTACCTCAAACACACTATGATATGAAAGGTTGTACAATTCTTACCTTCAAAGAAGATTTGCCGCTACTGAAAGAAAAAAAACAGAGTATTTTGACAACTTCAAACAAGCAGAGTAAATTTCAATCTTTATTTTTCAAGCTTGACACCAAAGATGGCTCAGGTAGCTCTATAAGGTAAATTGTCTTGTCAAATCCTTCTGGCATTCCGAGTCCTTCCATCCGACATTCCGAGTCCTTCCTTCTGGCATTCCGAGTCCTTCCTTCCGACAAGAAAAAAATTTCCCGACAACTGGAAAAAAATTTCCCGACAACTGGAAAAAAATTTCCTGACAACTGGAAAAAAATTTCCTGACAACTGGAAAAAAATTTCCTGTTGTTCGTCCGTAAACCATTCAAATTTTCGAAAATTGAGAACTTTTTGGTCGAACTTCAGAAAAAGTTTTTCCTTCCGACAGAAAAAGTTTTTCCTTCCGACATTCCGAGTTTTTCCTTCCGACATTCCGAGTTTTTCCTTCCGACATTCCGAGTTTTTCCTTCCGACAGGACACAAACGGACGACTGACATTCCTCTTCCTGAATGTCTTCCAAAGCCAGAAGAACCGAAAGCTGCAGAACCACAACAGACTAAGACTAAACACTTACATTTTTACGCTTGACTTTTTACAATTTGAACTTTGTTTGCGTAGATATGAATTCTGAAAGAAGTATGAGGGTCTTGTATGACTTTGTACTTCTCCCATAGTTCATATCTGTCAAACTTACCTGCCATGGACTCTTTCATAAGTTCCATGAAATCGTCTTCTGACAATCCTGGGAAAAGTATAATGTCAGTAAGTATTCTCTTTACATCCTTACTTAAACTCTTTGCTGTCTGTACACAAATGACAACTGAGATGTTAAAGTGTCTGAGCTTCTTAAGAATTCGACACATATCTTGTTCTCTATTCTTTAACAAAGGATGAGAGGCGAAATCATCTAAGATAAGAAGACATCTATGAGGGTAAGTCTTCCAATCGTAAGATTGCAATTTCTTCGAAATGTATTCTATCTCTTTCTGTTTGTTTCTGAAGTGTTTCTTCTCTAATATTCTCTGCATTTCCTCATTTGGGTCTTTAAACTTCGAATTTATATACTCATTTATAGCATTGTACTTCAAAACCCTTCTTTGGTACTTCTTTATCCAATCTAACAACTCAGAGTCTTTTATACATACTAACTTACTTCTTTATAATATCTTTGAACGAATTGACGGTTTGGTCAAATTGACCAGAAGTACTACAAATGACAACTAACTCATAGAATGGGTTCTTCTCATCTAGTTCTTGTTGTTGTGCAGCCATTTTAAGATAAGTGAAAGTCTTACCCGACCCAGGTGGTGCAATTAGACCTGTTATACCATTCTGAGCAAATAAGAACTTGTCATGTATGGGTTTTATCTGAGCATTTTCTAACTTCCTCTTGTTCTTGTTTAAAACATTCTCAAATTTTTTGTCAATGTCAGCAAACTTTTTTTCTAACATATTTTTAGAAAAATTAAAATTTTTATCTTTTAGAAAATGTCTAGCGATTTCGCCATCTATATTCGAGACAAACTTTTTGACAGCAAAACATCTGTCGACCATAAAATCTTACATAGTGTAAACAAGAAAGGTGAATTTGTTCTAAAGTTCTGTTTCTGGGAATATGACAAGAACCATAAAACATTAAGCAGAGAAGTCTTAAAATTTGTCAATGACAGACTTGTTGACAGAGATGACGCCTCTTGGAGAGATGAAGTCCAACAAAAATTCTTAGAATGCAAAGAAGACACATGCGCTGTTCTTGAAGATGAAATAGAAAACAGAATAGAAGAGCTATTAAATGACAAAGAACTTTTACAGAAATATGGTTCGGAGAAATTTGACATAACTCCACCAGAAAAGAAGAAGAAAGGAAAGAAAGAGAAAAAAGTTGAAGAGAAGAAAGAACCTGAACCAGTTCCAGAGAAGGTGAGATATGACATGTAAAAATAAAATTTTATTTTTAGAACATTTCTGGGTCAATGTCAATGTTCTCTTCCTCTTTAGGAGTAAACACTGGCTTAGACTCTAAAATCTTTTTACCTAATTTACCTTGAACTTCAACTATCTTAGACTCATAATATTCATAGTCGTCTGTCTTCTTTGGTTCATAAGGTATAACAAGTTTGTATGCTTTACCTTCTTCAAGTTTTGAGAACCTTCTGTCAAAACTTTCTTTGACTGTTAACAAACCTTCTATGTCTAAGTCTTCAAATTTCGCACCATTTTTAGTCACAATAGCAAACTTAACTGGTTCGATGTTCCAAACTTTGTCAAATGAAGACTTTTCAAAATGGTAGAAGTAAACATTCAAATATGTGAATGGGTCTAGTTCTTCTTTAAGTCCTGACATGTACTTGTTTACTGAGATGAATTTCGTCATCTTTTCTATCGGATAAAAAAAATTTTTTTTTTAAAATTTACTCAGAAAAATTTTTCTTTGTATATACACCATTCTGAACATCTAAAAGATTTTTGATATTTGCCAAGAATGTTCGTTTAGACGCTGCCATATAACCATATTCTTGACAATACTGTTTATACGAATCGTACAATGACCTTTCATCTAAACACTCAAAGTTAGTCTCATCTATAAACAGTTCATATACACTCTTGTTTGCTTCTAACAATGTTTGTCTCTCTTCGGTATGTGGAATTTGTCTTGGATTGAACTTTGAAATATCTAATGTCATAAAATATGAGAACAAGTGGTTGTAAAAGTCAGATGTCAAAGTTTCTGCTAAGTCGTCAAAATATTCTGTATCTTGCATATGAGAATCTGACGTTCTGACAACTACATATCTTCTGTCAGAACTTTCTAACTTCATCGGAACAGCATTGTTTGAAACCATAATGAAGTTTGCAACATTTTCACAAACTCTTTGGTCTTTATATTTTCTTTCAACAACTCCAACTTTGTCTGTTATAAGACTCTTCAAAGCATCTGAGTTCAAAACTTTTGTTGTATCTATACTTTGAAGTTCGTTACATACTATAAGTTTCATATTCTCAATAGAAGAGTTAAATTTACCGCAGATGTTTTCTAAGTTTGTCATATTAGGGTTCGAATAACCTTCTAACAGTTTGCACAAAATATCTGTAAAGAAAGTATTCTTACCAGTTCCTTGTTTTCCAATTATAATGAGAGCAGTTTCATTTTTAGCACTTGGATGTTGTAAGATATTTGCAAACCAACATAAGATATACTCATAAACCTTTTCGTTTCCATTGCATATAATTTCTTTGACATGGTCTAACCAAGCTTCTATAATATTTTCTTTCCATTCTACTTGTTCATATTTATATCCAGTGAAGATAGAATAGAAGTTTGGAGAAGGTGTATAGAACTTTATACCTCGAACTGAAAAATCTTCTAACTTTGACAATAAGATATCCCAAGCATCTAACATCTTCATGCCAACTTGTACAACTTTTATTTTCTTAAGTTTCTGTTTACATTCTTGTTCTGAAACTATTGTCGCTTTAGGTTTGTTAAAGACAACATCCCATTCTTTCATAACATAACATTCTGGGGCAGAGTCAACATAAATGACTAAACGTTTCAAATTCTCGACTGCTTTGTTATAGTCTCTAAATGGACACATATTTCTGAATGCTTGGAAGTCATAAAAATCTGAAACATCTATTCTGTACATTTTTATAAAAATAAAAAAAATATTTTTTTTATTCTTGACTTTGTTCTTGAGCTATTTGTTGCATTTGTTGTTCTTGAGCTATTTGTTGTTGAAGTTGTTCTTGTAATACAATACTTTCACCAGTTGCATCTTCCAATTCGAAACTTTCTGCCGTCATTGACAAATACATAGGACATAAAAGTTTTACAGGAACAAAGTTTGCGTCAACTAAGGTTAAGTTTATGTTTGCCAAAGTGTTTGAGTTCACTAAAGCTGAAAACTCTGCATTCGAATGAACAATAGGCAAACCAGCAGAGAAAGTGTTGTTTATACGCATAAGTATCTTTTGGTCATAGTAGTTTCTGTCGACATTCGAATAACACTTTGAACCTAAGTTTGAAACAATATATAAAATAGGTGTACTTAAAGTCAATGGAACAGACATTCCTTGTATGACACCTTTTCCTGTTATAGGAAACTGTTGGTAGTAAAAACCAGATATAAGTTTTGTATTATAGCTCATATTGTTTATAGTAAACTCAGTCGGACATCCAAACATAATGAAACCTGCTCTAGTTGCAGCACATTTTACACCCGTACTTAAAGTATTAAATAAGTCAACAAAACCTGTTGGTGGTATATCTGAGTAAGTATCTTCAAAGGAGTATTTTTTACCATTCACAACAATAAAGTCTTCTGGTGTCAAAAGAGCAAAACAGGCTTTAGTCGTCATTGTGTTTAAGGTTAGTTTACAATATCGTCCTTGAGGACTTTGTAAGTTTGTTGTTATAGAATTATATGACTCAGGGTTTTTAGTCGTAATAGTATAAACCATTATGTCTTCTGCCATTTACTTAGCAAATAAACTTTAATGAAATGTTGTGGTCGTCAAATATTTTTATGACGTCTGGGAAACTATACTTTAAGTTCAACGTTTCACCTCCTTTCATAACGTATATCTTGTCAATGACATTATATGAAACACCACAGCAACTAACGTCGGGTTCTATTTCTTTGATGTTTATATCGTCTGCCTCTGTCAAAAGTTTCAATAGTTCTTTCAAAACTTCATGAGGTGCGATGACATATGAGTTCACTTTTACAGGGTTGTGTTCGACCAAGTTTAACATTATACTTAAAGCTTGACAAATCTTCTCCTGAGTTTGAAGTTTGTCTTTCAGTTGTTGGTAGTCATTTCGAATATCTGCAACAGAACTTAAGTCTCTGCTAACTTCAGGGTATGTTGGTTGTTCTTTTACAGGAACAATTGTTATACCATCTTCGTCTTCGTATGGTTTCCCCACTTCAACATCTCTTTCTTTGACATTGACAATAACACTTTGACTGTTTGTTTGAGTTGGTGAATTTAACTTCACATCTGCCACCGCCATTAAACCTTTTGAAACACTTACGCTTCTATTTTTCGGAAATGACATTTTACTTCGAATAAAAATATGGACGTATTCGGATATCTCTTTG